TGCTCCTGGGCTGGACTTTCCTGCCTCGTGTGCAAAGACTTTCGTCGCCACGGGTCCGGCTACAAGAAGTTCGGAGTTGAGCATGTATATTATATTATAGTATATTCTAGTATATTATGGTATATTGTAGTATATTCTGGTATATTGTAGTATATTATGGTATATTGTAGTACATTATAGTATATGGTAATACATAGTTGAGATTCGACTGCTTCACTTCAAGAGTCTTCGGAATTGAAGCAGCAGTGGCGCACTAGTCGCTGAAGTTCTGCTAACCCTCGCTTGGTTAGTGGTAGCACGACTCCGAAAGGTTTTTAAGAGTGACTTTGGGAAGCATTGAGCTTCGGCCCCTGTAGTCCCAAAAATCCCAACAAATAGCAAGATCCAAAACCACTTGGCTTGGCTGACGCTCTGACAGGGCGAGACCCCCGCAACAGCCGCACCCCCAAAACATCTTCCTCTTTTCAAGCCGAGAATGAACAGCGGCTGCAGGGACACATCCCCAAACAAGGAGCCCCAATATAGACCCCAAAAGGTTGTGAACCTCATTACCCCTAAACCCTAAACCCTAAAGCTAAACCCTAAACCCTAAACCCTATACTATAGTAGTTTCCATTTTCTTTTCCATTATCCCTAGTTTTGTAGGGAACCTCCCAAATCAGCTTGTCCTTTTCCCACGAGCCTCCTTCAGCTCCAGTTGCGAGGCCTGTTATGTCACAAGGCAATGAGAACCCACGTGTTCATCAAGGGCTTAGGGTTTAGGGTTTCAGGGGATTTGGGTTTAGGGTTTAGGATTTTAGGGTTGAGGATTTAGGCTTTAGGGGATTAGGGTTTAGGGTTTAGGGTTCACATCCCCAAACCCAAATAAAGCATCGCTGTCCCAAAGCCGAGGCTATGTATGTACATCAGAAGGTGGAGGAAGACTCGTTGCCTTTGAGGCCGGCAGTGACGAATTTTCCAGAGCTTGCTGTTTTCCCCGAAGCCTTTCAGGTTTGGACACTTCAGGCGGAGAAAGGGGGGAAGGTGATTGAAGCAAAGCCCTTGAAAACCTAAACCCTGAAGCCCTAAACCCCTAAACCCCTAAACCCCTAAACCCCTAAACCCCCAAACCCCTAAAACCCTAAACCCCTAAAACCCAAAACTGCCTGCCAGTGCCAGGATCCTGCGACTTGCTCGGGTCGCTGCTCTCTTTTTTTTACATATCTTGGACGTGTCCTGTCGCCACGCTGCATGCTTGTGATGGGCAAGCAGACGTGACCTTGGTACGTCCCAAGCGCTCACCCAGAATTTCCTTTACTTTCTTTTTTTGCTACTTGTTATTCTCATTTATTGTTGTTATCTGTTCCTTATTCTTATTACTAAGAAATATACTTATGTGTATATATATATGTAATCACTATTATGACTATTAATATTACTGTTAATGAGGCTGGGCAGCGCACCTGAAGAGCCTGAAACATGGAGTCGCTGGTAGGGTGACTCCATTACTCTTCAGAGCCCTTTGGCCCGTGTATAGTGCTTTCAGTTTAGAGGACGCCCCACCCTGTAGTAGTTTAATAGTGGTATACTAGGAATAGAAGAGGGCCCTAATATGATCGTTCCCATATTTCCTTATTATCCCTCATAGGCACTGATACTGGGTGGGGGGTCCACCTAGGCTTTCAGCAATGCCAGGAATCCACTTTGAGCTCTAAAGCAACGCGATGTGCGCATGTCGGTCAAACTTGTAGAAGCATGTGCAGTGTGCATGAGAACCCCATTGTAGCAGTTTCCGTTTTCTCTTACACTATCGTCGTATATCACCCCAATGTACTATAGTAGTTTCCATTTTCTTTTCCATTTTCTTTTCCATTATCCCTATATAACCCCTATATAACTCCAAAGCCCCTAAATAGTAGTTTCCATTTTCTTTTCCATGATCTCTAATGTAAGCTTCTGCAAGCTTCTGTGTATCCGAAACAGCTCCTGGCTCTGACAATGCTGTGACGGCAATCGCCTCAAAGCACCAGTGAAGCATTACCCAAGCACCAGCAAACAGAACCAGTGAAGCGGAGCCTAAGAAGAATTCCTTCTACGAATGTCGCACGGTACTTGAACTGGGCTGGTAACAAGCACTAGATTTAATGCAGAGCTGGCGCACAGCCTTTTCTAGGATTCTAGGATCTATCCCATGCCTGTGGCGGCAGCTGCGGCGTACGCAGTTGTAGGCTCTGTAAGCAGAACAGCACGTGGGTCCGTGCTGAAGGCTTCTGGCAAATGACTTGCTGGATACAGCACATCCCAAGCATTTGGGGTCATGAGCGGACATGTAGACCCTAAACTCCAAACCCATCTAAACTCTAAACCCGACACCCACTGTAGAATGTTTACCAGGTGTCCGCAGCTTTTACACGGGAGCTTCCACAACACAGTGCATAGGGATCCATCTTTCAGGAGAAATTCCAAGTTTTGTGTGAACTGTTCGGAGCTTTTCTTCTTTTGTCCTACTACAATATGCTGATATATATATATATGTATGCTAATATACTATAATCTATTATAAGAGAGTAGTATATTATACTATAACATACTATCCTATCCTTTAATCTACTAGAACATACACTAACATAGAAGGTACTATAATATACTAGAACACAGTATAATGTACGATCATCTTTTAGAACATACTAGAATATACTAAAGTATACTAGAATAATTATGCGAACTGCCATGGTTGGCAGGTTTGTCTTTGGCTTTGCTGGCGGCCGCCTCCCTGAAGGCCGAGCAGGCGCTTGCTGCAGCACAGGGAATAGTAGCCCGCGCCTTTTTGGGGGTCCCCTTAACACTTGAGTTTAGGGTTTGGGGGATCCCCATGATACTTGGCATAAAAAGGGATATATAGGGTTTTTATAGGGGTTTCCCGAAAGTAGGGGTACCTTTTTGGGGGTCCCCAAGAATATATTTTGGGGTCTACATTGGGTTCCCCTGTTTTTGGGGAAATTACCTCTTCAAAGGGGATACAGGGGCTCTATAGGGATGTATAGGGTGTAGGGTTTAGGAATGAACAGGCGTCATGAGTTGTACTATCTCCGTGCAACCCCAAATTCATTATGTAACGCCCATGTATACCCCGTAATGCTGGACCCTCTTTAGTTTAAGGCCCCCACCCCCCCGAACAATTGACTAGTCTGTTCACTACCGAGCCACCCCAAATTTGCCGCGCGAGTAAAATCATACAGGCCCTCAGAAATCTATTAAAGCTATTCAAGTAGTTTAGGTAAGGAGTTGGGCCAATTTTGATTATTGCGGCCCCGAAAAATTTGTACTATTCCGGACCCCTCCCAACCGGGCCCCTTGTGTAAAGAGGGTCCAAGATTGTACCCAATTCGTAGTCATCTTTTAGGGAGGGTGAGGAGTGTAAACTGTCTTCAAGTACGTCTTCAACTACCCAGAAGCAAACAGACACTTATTGATTTATTGCATACACCTAGACCTCCCAAATACCCATAATAACGGCCTTCGTGCCCATTACCCGCTCTCGGCTTTCTTCTGGGTTGCTATTAAGGAACTTAAGTCAAGTTACTATGTTGAAGAAACCCAATTAATTGCTCTATACATATATATATATATGTATACCCATTATGGTAACTTAAGCCCTAAACCCTAAATACCCTATTTACCTTATATATACCGATTACGGTAGCCCTAAACCCTAAACCCTAAATATCCCATATGGGCTATAGTCTAAACTCCTAGTATCCCCCTTGATATCCCCTATAGTACTCCCCTATGTACTCCCCCATACAACCCCCTTTCAGGTGTTTAGACTATAGCTCATATAAGTTCCTTAAGCCCTAAACCCTAAACCCTGAAATTCCTATGTAAGGTCCTTAAGCCCTAAACCCAAAACCCTGAAAATCCTATATAAGTTCCTTAACAGCGACCCAGTCTTTGCAGGCCTTCGCCGCGGTGCGCGCGCAACGGCCCCGCGGAGGCGAGCGCGGCGCGAGGCGTCGGCCCGACCGGGCCCGGTTCCCGGCGCACGTAGGATATATTGGGGGTTTCACTTACATGGTCTAAACTCCTTGAAGATATATATATATGTATATATTTATATTTATATATAAGATAGACAGATATATACATATATATATATGCAGACAAGTAGATAGGGTTTAGGGTTTAGGCTGAATATCGTGGGGGATTCCCAATATTAAGGGTACCTTAAGAAGGGGGATATCAGGGTTCTATAGGGATATACAGGGTTTAGGGTTTAGGGTTTCCCAAATTTCTGGGTACCTTGTGGGGGTGCCCATAATAAGGATTCTAGTATTTTGGGGTCTGTATGGGGGTTCCTCTATTTTGGGAAACTCCCAGTGGAGATGGTGTAAAGCAGTATGCGAAGACTTTTCTTTTGCAAAACAGTCGAAAATGCACAAGAAGATGACGCATCATTTGGGGTTCAGGGATGCCGTGCATGCCTTGTCGTGCTTCAAGAAGTGTGTGTATACGTACATCAGTGGAGAAGCACATGGAGCAGTGCATGCGCTTGTTATCTGCAACTCAATGTACGTATCTAGAGAGACCCAGCAACCCTTCATTCGGTAAGTTTTTGCAGTGTGGAGACATGCTGCCTATGCCAGGAGAGGAACCTCCTTGATGGCGACTGCAGGCTTCCACTTGGGCTTTGTCATCAGCGGAGCTGGGGAGGGAGTGTAGTTCGGAGCTTCCATCAGCAAGGGGTTGTGCTTCGGCATCATGATGCGAGGATTCTGGGTAGCTCTCGTTGTTGAAGGAACCCTCCGTCTTGGAAGGGTGATTGTCCATTAGCATTCAGTTTGCCAATTTGTGTGATGGCAGTCCCGGATGACGTAATTACCATCATTATGTCACTATGGTACTTGTTAGGAGTGGCACTCTGAAGAAGCACATGTGCATTCATCAACGGGCGGTGTAACTCTCATCCCCATTCTTACCAGCATCTGTCCTGTCGCAAATTGAGTGATGGATCTGTACGCAAGGCCTCCGCTTCAAGGTGCTCCTGTTGGACCATGTACCTTGCCCTTAATTTACCCTTGGTTAGCTGGGAATGACGGACTGGAAGAGAAAGTATAAACTACTTTAATGTGTTATATAGGGATTACTATAAGGATCCATGCCTTCATGCCTAGCTAACCCAAGGTAGGTTAAAGCAGATTTTGGGGTGAGACAAGCACCCGCCACCGTCGTTGTGGTGATTGTTGGGGCTGGTGGCTTCGTAAAATGTCACTTGAGCTCGTTTGTTTGCTACTGGGTAGGCCCCTGGGATATTTCATATTTTCCCTAATGGCTTTAATAAGGGACCCTATATACTAATATTTCTCAAAGGGTTTTAGGGGCCAACCCAGGCTATTATTTCATTCTTGCAGACATGATGAGTTAACATCATGCTGTGTATCATGACTTTCGTTCTCATGAAGGTGAAGCTTCACTTGGTAGTTTCCCTAAAAGGGGGACCCCAATGGAGAACTATAGTCCCTATTATAGGGACCCCCAAAAAAGTACCCCTAATTTTGGGAAACCCCCACTTGTAGACGTGATTCACAGAAACTCCACTCCGCTCTGAGGATGATACCACGGTGAAAGGCACCGAGGCGGGTATGAGGGCAGGAGTTTTGAGGTCTGCCTTGAAGCCGTTTACTAGCCACATGGGTACGTACTCCTCTTCAAAGCCCTCTTTGAAGCACATTATACGATATAGTACTATATATACCATAATGATATACTATGTTAGCATAGATACAAATATGTTATTCCAGATTATTAAACAGAAGACTTCGCATGATTTTTCAAGGAGGTCCACTACCCGGCGCACGTGGAGAGCGTGCGGATCCTCCGACCCGACCTAGAGCCGGTGTCTTTGGAGGAATCTCTCATATACCATACTCTATTCTAGGTCTATTATCGGTATATTATGGATCTATTTCAGGTAGATTATAGTATATTTCTGTATACTATATAGTATATTCTAGTATATTATGGTTAATAGTGTGTGTCTTTGGAGGAATGGTTCAGAAAGAACCACGAGCCAGGCGCCGGGCACCCGGGCACCAATTTGTCTACAGTAGGATACCGCAGGTGTACGCATATGATAGTTACCCAAAATACGGGGCCCCCAATATGGACCCTAGTATTTTATAATCCTTACTATAGGGACCCACCAACAAGGTACCCCAAGTTTTGGGAAATCCCTTTATGTGAGCATCATGGAATGCCACGTGGGCTGCTAGAATCAAGGTGTCAAACTACCTGAAGATGCTCTTCACACCCGAGCAGATGGTCAAGGAGCACGAGATTTGGGAAAAGGCCATGGAGCAGAAGGTACCGGCTTTCTACGAAGGCCTACGCTCCTAGGGCTTAGGGTAAGGTTCAGTGTTCAGGGTTTAGGGCTTATCCCGCGAAGCATTGAAATATCCACTGAGTTTTGAGGAAGAATATCAGATCTCACACACAAGGATGCGTGATTCAGCGGCGGAGCATTTAACAACCCTCATAATACTCCCCTATATAGTCCCCCAGAAACAGCCTCCTTCAAGGAGTTTAGACCCTTAAACCCCAAACCCCCTAACCCCTAAACCACCTAAAACCCTAAACCCTAAATCCCTAAACCCTAAACCCCTAACCCCTAGACCCTAAACCTAAACCCCTAAACCCTTAAACCCTAAACCCTAAACCCCTAAACTCTAAACCCTCTATGCAACCCTGATCCTCCCTGTGAGGCATGGCCGAGCCGCTCAGACCTGCACTTCACTGGCCTTTGGAATAGCTGGGAATGGAGGAAGGGAAACGAGAATGGAAACTATTGTAGTTACTAGAGTATATTGGGGTTATATTGGGATATAGTATGGCCTTAAGGGTACCTTAATCTACCCTTAATAGGGTGCTAATAGGGCATTTTAGGGTCTAATAGTGGGGTTATGTATATATTTTGTTCTTGATTCTTATATTTAGGGTTTAGGGTTCAGAAGGAATGAAAAAGAGTATAGAAACTATTATAATGGGGTATATAGGGAGTACTCTCAGCTTCAGACACTGAGAGAAACTCAAAATTGGACTGTGCGGCCTGTTCAAGGCCAGAAGACCGATGCTTAGAAATTTGCGGAGTGGCGCAGTGGAATGCCAAACAATACTGCTGTAGCTAGTCCACCTTGATAGATTATGGCTTTTGGTATGTGTTAATAAGGTCCCCATATGAGCCACAGTCAATACTCGGTTGTAAGGAATTTTGTATGCAGTGGACATGTCAAGCAATCACAGTTTGGGCACAAAGCCCATGTAA